TCAAAATCATTACTATGAATATACTTAAGAAGAGGATATGAATAAATCCATTAATGAAATCTATGAAATTACAAAGAATAAAATGAAATTTAAAAACTGTCCAAGACATGAAAGTGCAAATAGAATCAATGAAGAAAACCTAAACTGAGAGGAAAATGAAAAGTTTAGAAACTCATTCAGAACCTCAGAGGCAAGCCTCACCAATAGAATGGAAGAAGAGATGGAAAAGAAAATCTCATTGCATTGAAGACAAGATAGAAGAAATGTATTCATCTGTCAAATAAAATGTTAAATCTAAAAAAACAAAACAAAACAAAAACAACAAAAACTTCTGGCTCAAAACATCCAGGAAATCTGGAACACTATGAAAAGACCAAGTCTACAAAGAATAGGGACAAAGAAAGATAAGAGACCCAGGTCAAAGTCACAGAAAATATTTTCAACAAAGTCATTGAAGAAAATTTCTCTAACCTAAAGACGGTGCCTATGAAGGTACAAGAAGCATACAGAACACCAAAATAGACTGAATAAGAAAATAAATTCACCACAAAACATAATCAAAACACTGAACATACAGAACAAAGAAGGAATATTAAAAGTTGCAAGGGAAAAAGATGAAGTAATATAAAAAGGTAGTTCCATTAGAATAGCAACTGACTTTTCAATGGAGACTCCAAGGCCAGAAGGGCCTGGATAGATGTACTGCAGATTCTAAGAGACCACAGATGTCAGCCCATACTACTATACACAGCAAAACTTTCAATCACAATGGATAGACATTCCATAATAAACCAGCTTAAGTAATATCTATCATACAGCTCTATAGAAAAACTTCAACCATACCCAAGAAAACACAAAGAAAAGATATTCTCAAACCAGCAAATCAAAAGGAGGGAAGATCCAAACCACCACAACAAAATAACAGGAATCTATAAACACTTCACATTAATGACTCTCACTATGAATGCCCTCAATTCCCCAATAAAAAGACACAGACTAACACATTAGTCATGAGAATGGGATCCATCCTTCTACTGCATCCGAGAAACACACCTTACCATCAAGGATAGACATCAACTTGGAATAATGGGTTAGAAAAAGATAGTCCAAGCAAACAGACCCAAGAAACCAGCTGGCATAGTCATTTTTAATATCTGACAAAATAGATTTCAAACCAAAATTAATCTAAAGAGACAGGGGAGACTATGTATTCATCGGGGGGGGGAATCTATCAAAAGAATATTATAATTCTAAACATTTGTGCACCAAATACAAGGACACACAAGATAACAGAAGAAACACTACTATAGTTAAAATCACATTATTGGCCCTTACATGGTGATAGTGGGAGAATTCAATACCTAACTGTTGTCAATAGACAGGTCATCCAGACAAAAACTAGACAGAGAAATTCGGAGCTGAATGATGTCGCAAATCAAATGGACCTAACAGATATTTGTAGATCATTTCACCCAAAGGAAAAAAAAAACCGTACACCTCCTTCTCAGAAGTCACCTCATGGAACCTTCTCCAAAATTGGCCACATGTTCAGACACAGATACAAGAAAACTAAAATAACACCCTGCATTCTGTCAGACCACCATGGATTAAAGCTGGATAGCAACAATAGAAAGTTTACAAACTCATGGAAACTGAACGACTCACTACTAAATGAAAAAAAAAAAATGGGTCAAGACTGATATTAAGAAAGAAATTTAAAACTTTTTAGGACTGAATGAAAATGAAAGGACAACATATACAAATTTATGGACCCAGAGAGATCTCATTTTAGTAACTTGACAGCACACCTGAAAGGTCTAGAGCAAAAAAGAAGAAATAGTGTCCAAAAGGAGTAGATGGCAAGAAATAAACTAAGGATGGGAATCAATAAAAGAACACTACAAAGAATCACTGGAACGAAGAGTTGGGTCTTTGAGAAAAGCAGTAAAATCAACAAACCCTTAGCCACATTAACTAAAAGACAGATGGAGAAAACCAGATTACCAATATTAGAGTCGGAGGAGGAGACATAACAACAGACACTCAGGAAATCAAGGGAATCATAAAGATACACTTTAAAAACATGTACTCAAAGAAATCCTAAAGGAAACAGATAGTTTTCTTGATATATACCACCCACTAAAGTTAAATCAAGATCAGATAAGCAATTTTAACACTTCTAACCACCACATGGCACAAACATAATAAATAAATGTAGTAAAAGGAAATGTTACTAATACATTTTATTGTGTATTTGTAAAAACTGCATTTATAAAATAAATAAAATAAAATCCAAAGAAAGATGAATGTCTGAGAATAGCAAAGATAGTTTTGGAAGAGCCCTAACAGGGGCAGGCATGCCAAACACGGCTCTGGTGGGCCCTGCCCTTCCCCCATTCCCTTTTTCTTTCTAAAACCCATTAGATTACAGTCCTAAAGCTGGCCACCAAGGCCTATTCCCTTATTTGGTCACTTCCTCCCCACGAGGCTGACTACCAAGATGCAGGTATCAAAGTATTGAAGTCCAGCAATCAAACGCCCCCTTAGGCTCATCTAATTAACATGCTCAATCAAAACAAACCAACTCATCCTAACACAGGTTTCCCCCCCTTTTCCTTTTATAAACTGCCACTTGCAGTTATAAAGGTCCTCTGACCTCTATACACACCCACACTCACAGCTGAACACAGCCACACTATATTCATATATACATATACATGTGTATACATATATGTTATATGTTTGCAAGCTTCTAAAAGAAACAAGCACTAAGATATACCACAGATAAGGTGTATGTATAAAAGAAAAGAACTTCACAGAAGAAGACAAGAAAAGAAGTCACCACACTCATGGTGTTCCATACTTGGGGCCATGACTGCCCCACAGGGACAAATGCTTCCAGACTGCCAAGGGCTGATGTGTTTAGACATCTCATTCTGAATTCAGATTCAGGGTAGGGGTCCCTGAATCACATCAGTGACCCCTACCCTCTTCTGCGCCCCAACCAAACAGTCCAACCAAACACTCGGGCTCCAATTCTACCCACACATCACTGATCTAATTCTGTTAAGTATTTCCACCTTACCTTTTGTTTTCACTGGATGAGAGGCTTTAAAATAACAGCCTTGGCATTTGCTCAATGGTTAAGTTGATTAAATTGCACTTACTGAACTTGGCAATTATTGGGCTGTGCTCAATACACTTATTGATTGGCAGATGGACAAGTCAGGCAATCCTTCAGAACTCAAGAGAGAATTGCACCACCATGTCAGGAGGCTGAACCTCTCTGACCTGAAAAACATGAGTTAATTAACGAGGCATTGCCTGCAGCCCAGCATACTTCATAGCCTGCAAGAAAACCTAGAGACTCCAGCTTGGGAACTATTTATTATTGATATAAGTAGTGATACCCAGTAGATTTTAACTTCCATGTTTACTGTGAATATTTTAGGAATGAATAGTGTTGTTGCTATTGCTGTATTATACATGTATGTGTGAGTGAGAGATAGAGACTGAGAGAGAGACAGGCAGAGAGACAGAGAGAGGGAGAGAGACGTGGGGGGTATTGTATGTGAGCCTGTCACAGTATGCATGTGGAGATGAGAGGACAACCTTGAGTGTCAGCCCTCATCTTCCACCTTGTCTGGGACTCTTGTTGAGATCTCTCATTGTTCACACCTAGTAGCTTCCAGGGAGTCTCTGGTCTCTGTCTCTGTGCTGACTAGTAGAAGTCATCTGAGGGGAGGGAACCTCAAATTAAAATGCCTCCTTAAGATCAGGCTGTAGGCAAATGGGTTAGTAATTTTCTTAATTAGTGATTTATGGGGGAGGCCCCAGCCTGTTATGAGTAGTGCCACTCCTGGGCTGGTGGTCTTCGATTTTATAAGAAAGCAGGTGGAACAAGCAATGAGGAGCAAGCCAGTAAGCAGCACCCTCCATGGCCTCTGCATCAGCTCCTGCCTCCAGGTTCCTCCTGTTTGAGTTCCTGTCCTGGCTTCCTTCAGTGATGTGGAAGAAGTGTAAACCAAATAAACCCTTTCCTTCCCAGACTGCTTTTGGTCATGGTGCTTCATCAGAGGAAGAACCCGGACTAAGGCAGCCTGCTATCTCAGTGTGAGCGCATTAGGATTCCAGACACTCCCACATCTGGCTTTCATGTGGATTCTAGAGAGTCAAACTCCCGTCTTTGTGCTTGTATAGTGCAGTGGCTCAAATGAAAAGTAGGCTCCTCCATAAGCTCATGTGTTTGAACATCTGGTGATGCTGTTTGGGGAGGTTGTGCAACCTCTGGGCAGTGCAGCCTTTCTGAGGAAGTACATCACTGGGGGAGGGAGGGGACGGGCTTTTGAGACTTTCTATAGCCTCAGTCAGTGTACTTCTGGTTCGCTCCTGTGCCCTGTTGTGTGGACAAAATGTGACCAGCCGGCTTCTCACTCCTGCTGCCATGCCATCCCCACCATTGTGGACTCTCCCCCGCCAACTGTAAGGCAGAATAAACCTCCCTTAAGTTGGTTTTGGTCATGGCATTTTATCACAGCAACTGAAAAGTAACTAATACACAAGGCAAGCTCTTTACCAACAGAACATCTCCCAAGCCCCTCTTCCATTATCTTTTAACAGAAGGATTATTATTAAACTTTTATTTATGTGTGTGTATACACACACACAATCATGGGTGCCTGTGGATTCCCCTGAACCTGGTGTTAGAGGAGGTTGTGAACCACCAAATGTGGGTGCTGGGAACCAAGCTCAGGTCCTCTGCAAGAGCAGCACACATTTCTTTACCTTAAAGGACATGAAGACCAAAGCTTTTATCCTGGACTATGATAATTTTCCAAGTTTTATAACTCACAGTAACACCTGTCGCGTAAGTCTCCTGTCCCTGACAGGAACCTGTGGATAGAGGAGGCAGTGTGGATGTGGTTCCACACGAGGCCCAGAAACTAGAAACGGTTAAAGGTAGTCATGAGCCTACTGGAAGGTGCCTGCCCATGCCTCACCGTGCCTTCTGGGTCCACCAGCAGCAGGTGCTTGGCTTGGCCATTGTGCATCCCCGTGAGAACAAAGGAGCCAGGGTTAGTGGTACTCTTTCTGACGAGGAAGTCTCCATCTTCCTGCAGCAGTGCCTCTGCCTCCTTCCTGCTCATCTCCCCTTGGTACCAGGGCTCAGCATTAAGCTCCTCCAGCATCTTGGCATCTGGGGCTCTGGGTGAGACAGGGCTGATGCACTCCACAGACGCTGCTTTGCTCAACATGGGCCCCAGAGACTGGTTCTTGAGAGCATCTTCAAAAGGCTCTGTCAACAACATACGACAGCAACAAATCAATCCCGGAAGAGGGAGCAGTAAAAATAGAGTGAGAGAGGAGAATTAAAATGTAACTCTTGATGGAGGCTGGCAACAGAGATGGATCATCAGAACTAGAATTTAAATGCACCACCCAAATTTTGGCATGATTCTTTGGTGAGTCTACTCTCCAGACAGCTGGAGGTTGTGCCTGGTGCCAAGGATATTGGGCACACACTTTGTCTAACTGGATAGAAGGACTTCAGCGTTGCACACTGCAAGAGGGCAGGTACAACTTGCCATTTCGTACCACCTACCTTCTCTGAACAATTAGCCAGCCTCCTTACAAACCCTTGCGTACAAATTTGTCTACGCCAAAGAAAAAGACAAGCCATGAAACCTTGGTTCCACTAAAGCCCCAAAACACCACAGATTTACTTCAAAATCCCTGGTGCCTCTTGAGGAATTGCTCCAGGAGAGGAATTCTACTCCGCCCTGACCTTCCCTGGTATCTGAGAATTGTCATCACGCTTGGCTCAACCTGCTTTGCAACTGACTTCTTACTATGTAGCATACCAGAGAGTGCTCAGACCACTGTGAGTTACAGTGTATACAATGTATAAGTGCATCTAACTAAACGGAAGCATGCAAGTTTTCGGTAGGATGGGGACATGGGATATGCACTGAAAAAAAGGTATACAGTACCAGGTAAACACTGAGTAATTTGGGATCATGCCGCCTGCTTGCCACAATGCAAACGCAAGAAGAACTAGAATGTCCTTCTTGTGCCAAGCTCCACCCCAGAATCCCACATTGTTTCTGGATACTCTTTGGAGAAGAGAATACATCGAAGCAAAATTAGATCTTTTTGAGAACTGCTAAGTCTTTTACAAATGTGGAGAGGGAAAATAGCTTTCAAACCACTGGCTAAAGGCTAAACCACGAAGTTTTGGCTGTGCCGTGTGTGTTTATGTGTGTATGTGTGCACGTGCGTGAATGCAGGCGCCTCTGCAGGCTAGAGATCGATGCTGGGGCCCTTTTCAATTGCTCTTTGCCTTACTCTTTGAGGCAGGGTTTATCACTGAGCCTGGAGCTCCACCGGGCTGGCCACCGGCGTCCTCCTGTGTCCACCTTCCCAGGTGACACAGGTTACAGGTCTGTGCTCTCGCACTTGGCATTCTTATATGGGTTCTATAGGGTCAAACTCAGGCCCTTGTATTCGTGCCACAAGTACATGATTGATTGAATCACACCACCACCACCACCACCACCACCACAACCACCACCGCCACCAGCAGCTTTTCTTTTTAGCCCACTTTAAAAAAACCTGATTCTATGGAGTACTGAAAACCCGTGCTTTGCTGTCTCTGTGCCACCACAACATGCCGTCTCTACCACCAGCTTTTGCCACTACCATTACCAACATTTGCACACCACCATCATCATAGTCGCTGACATCGCCAGCAGCACCACCACCATTATGGACTCCACCAGATCGTCACCTCAGCAATCACTAACATCACCAGCAGTGCCACCACAGTGGCCCAGGAGAAGCCAACTGCAAAGACTTCCATGGTGCATCATCAAAACAAAACAAACCAACAACAACAACAAAACACCCGAGTCTATCCTCCCCTAGAAGACACTGTGGACAGCAGTGTTGGGCTGGCAGGGCTGCCCTTGACACAGGACGCTGCTACTCAGCCACTATGACTCTCTTTTTTCTCCTCCACAGCAAGGCGCCTCGTGCCTAATTTATGGACCAAGACCATAAATTAGGTAGAGAGTCCCAGCATGTGGCCAACAGTGCCTTAGTCTTCCTACCTCTCTTTAGCCCATCAACTTCTCCAAGAATGAAAACAGGAGAGTTTTCGGAGTTTCAGAGAAGGTACAGGGCTGGGAGATTAGCCTAGCTGGGAAAGTGCTGGCCTTGCAAGCATGAGGACCTGGATTCAGTCACCAATCCCCAATGCTGTCTAGCAATCTCCAGCAACTTCATTTCCACGGGAGCTGACGCCTTCCTCTGACCTCCACATTCTCCAAGCATGCATGTGGTGTGAATATATTTATACAGGCAAAACCACCAATTTTTACGTGGCAAAACCACATAATTTTTTTTAAAGCTTAAAAAAAAAAGCGAAAACAGCATGCAGGTTTGTGCTTGCAACCCCAGCAATGATGGGGTGAATATAGGCAGATCCATGGGCCCACTGGCCAGTCAAGATAATCCAGTTAGCAGTTCCAAGCCAAGTGAGAGATCTTCTCCTTAAAACAAGGGGGATGGCTCTTAAGGAATAGTGTGTGTGTGTATACCCACACCCACATACTTAAAATCCCCTCTCTCTTTCTGAATATATGTATATATGTATATATGTATGTTTATCCTCATGAGCTTCCAAAATTCTTTCCAAATTTCCTAACAGTTTCTACTCATTCCATTTTAGTTCATGAATTGCATGCTTTTCTCTAACTATATCCCGAAGAGCAAGTCCACATGACAGCATCAGCCTACAGTGCCAAGTCCAGTGGGTCCCTTCATCCTGCTCTCCAGCTTCTGCCTCCCCCGACAGCCTGTGGATGGTTGTCTAGACCCCACCAGAGGAAGGCCGTCTGTTTCAATGCTCCTGTATAATTTCAGTAACTAGGAAAGGATCTGACACATGGTAAGCACTGGACACATTTTTGGAGAAGGTTAGGAAGAAGAATGAGAGCAAGTAGATAGAGCAGGGGAAGGAAAGGGGAAGCAGAGAGGAGGTGGGAGGAGGAGGGGAGGACCAGGCAGATAGAGGGAGGAAGGGAGGGAAGGTGAAGAGAGGGAGGAATAGAGGGAGGAAGGGAGGGATGGAGGAAAGAAGAGGTTACAGAGAGAGGATACTGTAAAAAAGGTCTAAACAATTTTCCCGTCCACAGGTCCTTGCTGATAGACAGAGGTCTATTACTGTGGCCGTGTCATGCCTGCACCTTCTGACATCATACAGCAGTCAGCACATCATGCCCACTCAATACTCAAATGAACACATATATTTGTATATGTTGTTGGTCTTCAAGAGGAAAGACAGTTTCCCCAAAAGAAAGTCTCTTGGCTGCAATGATGGTGTGTAACCCCAACACCGTACCTGAACTCAAAGTCAGAAAAACGCCCTTAGTCATTGCGGTTCATCACACCTGCCAGCAAAAGAGTCAGTGATGAAGCAGACATGGGATAAAAGGCAGCACAGAACAGACAACAGACACCTACTCATGTCAAAGAGGTCCTTCCGTGGGCTGCTCTCGGTGCTGCTGGTCGCTGCTGGCCACACCTGTGGCGGGACTGGCTGGGTGTTGACATAGGTTGGCGTTTCTCCTACGGGAGCCATGTGCACTTTTCCTTCAGGTGTGCTGTAGATGTCCAAGGAGCCTGCAGCCAAGAGAGGGAGTCCGGTTACCTTGTAGGATGATAGCACCCTTCCTGCTGCGCCTGGGATACCCAGGGCCGCAGCTTCTCCAGCCCGCTCCTGAGAGCATTTACTCTGTACATTTTCTTCCAAGCCTGGCAGTACCATGTCCCAGTTAAGACACTCCCCAGTTCTTTGTCAAAAAAGAAAGGAAGAAAGGAGGGAGGGAGGAGAAGGGAAGGAAGAAAGAAAAAGAGAAAGAAGTAAGGAAGGAAGGAAGGAGGGAAGGAAGGAAGGAAGGAAGGAAGGAAGGAAGGAAGGAAGGAAGGAAAGAAAGAAAGAAGGAAAGAAGGAAAGAAAGAAATCCTCCACCCAGCATTAGGGTGAGTGGTTAAAGGCCTTGCTAAATACGGCCATCTTGGTTGGTTCAGGGCCCTGGGAACTGAGCATTGAGTGACACTGCCTCAATGAGACCTCCCAGTGGGCCAAAAGATTCTGGGGGTCTCAGCTGTTTTGCCGCTTGAAGGTAATGTTGAAAGTGTTTCCGAAGAACACCTGCTTGGGTCATTCTGTATGTGAGCATCTCTGCTTCACTGGATAACAGACGCCTCGTTCATACTGCTTTAGGATGGACGGCTACTGGCAAATGGATGAGTAAGTTTATGTTTGTTCTGTGGGAGAACATATCTACTGGTTTCAAATCAGATCTTGAAGCCAGGTGAGGTGATGCATGCCTGTCACCCCAGCTCTCAGACGGCTACAGCAGGAGGATCACTGCAAGTTCAAGGCCAGCCTGAACTATACAGCAAGACTTTGCATCACAAAACACTAAAACAAAATTAAAAGCTAAAAGAAAATCAAATAAGAACTTAAGATGTACTGAGTTATGGACTCGGCCTCCTGCAGAGTGTTCATTTCCTGGGGCTCTCACTCCTACTCTCTAGGCAGTGGAGGAGCCCCAGGTCAGAGCGTCACCTGTTCAGAACACGTGCCTTTTCCCACCACGTCACTTTGTCTCTTACCTTGCCTGGTGGGTGCTCGATGCCAGTCCTCACCAAATGCATCTCCTAAGTGTCTTCCCTGGTAATAAGTTTGCTCTTTTCCTGCAAACTGGAGACATATGTCAATATGGAGGAAGAAAGAACTGTCTTCTCAGCCATCATCTTTGTGAACCACAGTGCAGTGGGTTCTTACACGTTGATGCAGCCTCTCCAACACCCACCTCTGCATTCCTGCCTTACACCAGCATTGCATTCAACACATAAGCTTTCGTGGTTGTGGAACAAAATCGACACCCTTGTTAATGCCACAACACTCTCTCCTTGTTTTCATGACCCCATAATTTCTCTCAGAGGCAACCAGAGCGAGCTTGTCCTGGCAGCCGTCCACTCTCAGGGAAGCACACTCCTGAGAACCAGGAAGCTGCAGTGTCAGTGCCTTGATATCAATGCTGTTCTGGCATTTTTATTGGCACAGATAACCTTGAAACTATCCAGAGTTGGAAGTATAGCTCAGCTCATCAGGCACAGACTCTGGGTTCTATCACTAGAAGCAAGCAAGAGAGAGAGAGAGAGAGAGAAAGAAAGAGAGAGAGAGAGAGAGAGAGAGAAAGAAAGAAAGAAAGAACATCACTGGAGCTACTATAAAAGATGGAGATGCAATAGTTTTAGAAAGCAATTTTGGGTTAAAGGTTGTTGGAGTTGGATGGTGTGCTGGTCCACTTTGACGACTCAACACAACCTAGAAGAGACGCCTCTGGGAAGAGAGTCTCAGTGAGGGGCTGTCTACACTCAGTGGTCTGTGGGAATACCAGTGTGTGGGGGGGTGCCTTTTAAGCAAGTTGATATGGAAAAGTGTTCGGCATCCAGACCACTGAACACTACAACCACTCCCCAGGCAGGGAGACCTGAACTGAGTAAGAGTGGAGGAAGTGAGCCGAGCACAGCAAGCATTGGAGCATTCACACACTCACACGCGCGCGCGCGCACACACACACACACACACACACACACACGTCGCTGCTCTTGACTCTGGTTGTGATGTGACTCCTTGCTTCAGGCTCCTACCCCATGACTTCCTCACAGTGATAGATCATAACCTGTTACTGGAAGCTAATACAAGCGCTTTGTCTTCTCAGTTAGTGTGACGGTATTTTACACAGCAATGGAAATGAGACTAGAACAAAGTGAGGGAAAAACAAAAGAGAAAAAAAATTCATAAGATCCACCTGCTTTCAGGGAAGTGATCCACTCTTTTCAGCGAACCCACAGTATCATGGGCCTTTATTTAAGAAAATGTTTTAAGGCCTAGAAAAATGTTTTGTAAGCTTATAAATACAAGATACAACAGAGAATGATTTAGTCACAAAACTTTAGACTCACCTAGATAGGATAGATAGTATTGTTTTTCTACAAATGAGCTAAACATTTTGAATGTAACTTTTACATATGGCTTTCCTGATAACTGTTCTTGCTATATGTACTTTATTATAAATAAAGTCCATATGCAAAAAAAAAAAAAAAAAGAAAAACCTCAAATCCTGATATCCCCTCATTAAGATGGCAGCATGCTGGGATTGGTGCCAAGACTTACGATGTTTTCACATGTCTCAGAAAGGCACTTTGGGTCTAAGTCACCAGATCAGAGCACTGTGACGTCAATCTTGTCCATGTGCTTTGTGAAAGTCTGTGAGTGACTGTGTCAAAAGCGAAGTCAGAGACTGGCTAGAAATAACCCTGAAGGAGATAACGCAAGTGAGGGTCAGCCTCCACTAGGAAGAGAACCCCAGACTTACCTGGGCTACATCAGGAGCGTGAGGTCTGGCTTTCAAACGAGCATCGAGAAACCCCCCTGGAGGAGGCATCTTGCTGGGAACGCTGTTGTAGTATGGGTGATCAGGGCCATCGCCCTCCTCTTCAGTCCATGGCTCATCCAGACTCTGCATCCTGTTAAAAGATTTTCAGTGACCTTCACCCAAAATTGAGCACACGGGCAGACCCAACAAATCTGGCCTCAGAAACAAAGCCCTGGATATGGTTTCAGTGTGGCCTCCGGGACACACGGGTTCATGTATTAGCGGCTTGGTCCCCAAGGTGGTGGTATTAAAAAGTAGTGGGACTTTTTTAAGAAGTGGAGTCTCTCAGTCACAAACAAGACACCTACATCAATCCATCAGCTACTACCTCTTCCATTCTCCCAAGGCTTGGGGACCATTGCGGAAGAGCAGGGTAGAAAGATTGTAAGACCCAAAGGTTGGGAGATTCAGAGCAACACAATGCCTCCTGGACAAGACAGCGCCACTGCACTCATGAACCCAAGCAGTTGTGGCTGTCTGAACAAGATCAAACTAGTAAACATTTTAGCATGGGGACTGGGGGATGGCTGAGCAAGTGTGGATAGCTGATGGCTTTGGGGAGAGGAAGAGGGAGAGGGAAGGAGGGAAAGGATAGTTACTGTTAACTGTCAACTCAATCACCTCGGATATGGTCCCTCAGGAATTTGCCCGGGGCACTGATCTTGATTATGGTTTACAGTCTGAAGACCTGCCCACTGTGGGTAGAACCATTCCTGGGCAGAGGGATCTTGTACTGTGTAAGATGGAGAAAACAAGACGAGCACCAACACCGGTGAATCGCTCTCTTATTATTTTGGAAGCCAGCCTCCTGCTACCTCAGCTTCTCTGCTTTGGTGAACTGCACCTTGAGCTGTGAACCGGAATAAACCTTTCTTCCTTAGGGCATTTCATCACAGCAACAGAAAAGAAACCAAGAAACACACCTACACATCACACACACACATGCACATACCACACACAATACAAAACAAACACTTTAAAACAATGAAATAAACTGTGATGTCAGTATTTTTTGGCACCTTAAGTAGCCCTGTTTACGACCCTGAGGTAGCCTTGTAAGGTAGCAGCCGTCCATCAAAGACAACCGTTGCCCAGGTAGCCACAGATGGAACAGGGCAGTTCTGAGCCTCTTTCAAAAACCAGTTCCCAAACATTTATCCTTACTTTCCCTCTCTGAGTGATCCTTTGAGAACCCAAGTGCCCAAACTTTTTTTTTAATTTACTTTTAATTATCACATAGTAATTTTGCACATTTCTTATGTGTGTTGTGCGCTAACTTGATATATTTATACAAAACACAGTGACCAGATTCGAGTAATTAGCATCCCCAGCTCCTTGAGTACTCATCTGTTTGTGTCTGCCCAGGCTGTCTTTATTTAACCTGACACAGAGCCTGCCTGGGGGCATCTGTCAGAAACATTCAGAGGCAAATGTTTATCACGTGACCCACAGGAGGCTGCAAAGAACATTTGGCTCAAACAATTTTTATTAGCGGAAGAAAGTGACAAAGGATGAAGAGTTTATGGAGTTAGGGAGAAAAGGCCACTGAAGCAAACAACCACACCAATGGTGACAACAGATCCCAAAATGAGGAGCTGAGACCCCAACACATTGGGGTTAATACACCCCAACACATTCATCTAGAAGGCCACACACATTTGCAGGGCTCAGCTTGCTCTCATGTCCACAGTGTGCAATGTGACTCTAGTTTCTCACTCCTGGCCCACCCCTAAAGACCTCCCAAGTAGACAGTGAACGCTGAAAAAAAAATCAATTGATTCACCTCATGTTAAAAGAGGGTACCAATATATACACGTATACATATAAACACACATACATATACATACACACGTATATGTGCATGGACATACAAATACATACAAACACACATGTATACATACAAATATACACATATATGCATATACATACAAATACATACACCACACACAAACACACATCCAAATACACATATACATAACACAACATATACATGTACACACATGCATATACACATGTTCATATACACACATGTTCATATACACACGTATACACTGTGAGGCTGAGTCGTTCAACATTTCGGGAAACCTCTGCACTCATTAGTGAAGGAACATAGCTGACCAAGCAGGGGACAGAATGACATACGTACATTACAGAGTATAGAATTAGTTCACTAAAGTCCCTAAAACAACCACAGGCATTGACAATATACATCCTGGAAAGAGGAGAAATATGAGTTTCAGTTTTGCAACCTGTTATTATTTACATTTTTAGTGCCAGCAAAAAGTTATAAGCTGCATAGAGAAATAAGAAAGGATAGCTCATATACAGGAAAAATAAGTCAATGGAAATGGTCACAAAGAAATCTCAGACTTAGGATAAATAAGGATAAAGCAATCTCAGACTTAAGGATAAAGATCCTATGTTCAGCCAACTAAAAGAAATGATGTGTAAAGCACTAAATGAGGCTTACCAGAATGCATAAAGAAATTAAAAAAAAAAAAACAAATTCTAGAACTAAAAATTCTACCATCACTGCAAGCATGAAAAAAGAAAATTCTAACAATTCACTTAAGCAATTAGCAGGTTTGGGAGGTAGAAGAAGATAGGACAAAATTTTAAAATAGTTACATTCAGACGAACCAGTTTGAGAAACAGAAACAAAAACTGATTAATAAAAGTGAATGGAGCCCGAGAGACCCGTGGAAAAGCGTCAAGAAGGCCAGCAGGTGCACAGAAGAGTCCTGGAGGCAGAGCAGAAACTGAGACTGGCAGGAGAAACACTGAGTCATTAGGGCCCAAACCTTCCTAAACTGGCGAAAAGAAAATGTTTCTCTAGATAACGAAGAGGCTGAAAAGCTCAGCTCAAGATAAACTTAAAGGGACTTATGCATCCTAATTAACTCTTTGAAGAGCAGAAGGACTTCTCCAAGCAGCAAAGAGGGCTGCTTACTGAGACAAGGGCTTGTCCTGACAGCAACAGTGGATTTCTTGTCAGAAACGAAGGGGGCCAGAGACAGAGAAAGCTTCCTGTCCTGAACTCCGTACCCAATAAAGCTATTCTGCCAAGAGGAGGCAGAACTGTATTTCAAGGCAAATAAAAACAGGGAATCCTCCATTAAAAATCACCTCTTTAGGAAATACTATGGGAAATAGTATTATTTAATACTGTATTAAGCTGAAATAAGTGGGTAATCAGCAATTTACATCTGAAGGAAGAAGCAGAAAAGAATGGCAAGTGTAACTAACGAGATTATGTATGTTTAGTTTTGCATAAAATTCTTCTAATCTTCCCTTCTAATTTAAAAAACATAAAGCTGCATGACTGTGCTGGTGAGCACACATGGATAAAGATTCAGTGTGCGTGGCAAGAACCGCACAGTGGGAGAGCGGGAGGTGAAGGACGGAGGAACACACCGCTCTGGCAGAGGACCCAAATTCCATTCCCAGCCCTCACAGAGTGGCTCACAACTGCCTGTAATTCCAGCTCCAAAGGATCTGACACCCTGTTCCGGCTTCCACACTGCTCTCACTTGCACACAAGGGCACACACTTTCTTGTACACATGCAAACACACACCTAATTAAAAAACAAGTAAATTTATAAAATAACAAAATGGAGAGTGGGAGACTAGAGAGCAGCCCAGAAGCCAATCTTCTGTATATTACTAAAATTAAATTCTTTAATCTGAGTAGATCCTCATAAATTAACAAGCTAACTATGACCCTCTGATCACTGCTTTAAAAGTAGTGAAAGAAGAAGTCAAACTGCACACTTGAAAATGTTTATTTACACAAAGGAGGTAGTAATCGGTTGATAAGAGGATGGAACGGCATCAAGGAAAAATAGGTCAACATCAGGCGGAAATCCTAACTTATTAGCAATTGCATTGAATATCAATGTATTAAATGCTCTTCTTGAAAGACAGAGGTTGACAGAACAAAAAGAAAATAATCCTGTAATAAGTTTTCTTTGAGCAACATGCTCTATAAAGAGCAAAGAAGAAAATGGCAAGTTCAACTGTAATATGAAGGAAACACTAATATGCCACTTTATTACCATAAAGAATGACTGGACAGAGGATTGGAAAAATCTAAGTTTGCTCACAAAAATATAACCAGATTGAAAAGACATTAATAGCAAATTCTACTCAAAAATAACAGCAAAAAACTTCACCCATACAGGCGGAACATTCTCCAAGAGAAAGCATATATTATTAAATTTATTTAATAATAAGCTTCAAATATTTTAAAGAATTAAAATTTTAAATTACATTTTTAGAAAATAATGGAGTCAATATAGTAATCAAACTAGACCCTTACAAGATTAATAAGATGTTAAAATTAATACATTCCTGAAAAACTAGGTCAAAAATTGCAAGGGAAATTAGAAATCTCTTGACTTGAATGAACAATTTCTTATAAAGACAAAATCTAAAGTATGTGTAAAGAAGACATCAGACTTAATGAATTGGTCCTTGGATACAAAGAACAATATACAAAATCAGTTGTCTTTTATATATTAATGGTTCGAGAAACAAAATAAAAATCATTAGGGCACCAAAAAGAAAAAATTTTAAGGAAAAAAATTATGTAAACAAGGTCAGACACACATTGAAAATTGCAAAACACATTGACAAAACACAATCCACAAAATAAGAAAACATTTGCTAATAACATTTTTTAAAGTAGCATGAATCTTCAACTCCAACAACTCAACAATTTAAAAGAGAAATAACCCAATCTTTAAAACCAGAGTAAAGATTTGAGCAGACATTTCCCCAAAGAAGACAGACAAATGGCCAACAGCCCGTGAAAAGATGCCTGACATCATAATCATCAGAAAAAAATGCATGTCAAAACCATCATCAGAGATTTTCCTGCTCCCTGAGGCAGCCATGATAAAAAATGTGGATGGCATCCAATGCTGATGAGGGCGTGAGGAATGAGAGGCCCCTACTATGCTTACTGAAACGTAAATCAGTACTACGACTGTGAAAAATCATTTGGCTCTGATGACTCATGTTGGTTAGGAAACACTCTGGGACACAGCAGTGAGGAGTTATCTAGATTAGGTTAGCCTCCTGCCACGCCTTGGTTAACTGAGATTGAAAACCCTCTCTGACAATGGTGGCACATTTGCTGAGCTCGGGAATCTGGAGTGCCCAACAAGGACAAAGGAGCTGAGCACCAGCGCCCACTGCTCTCTGCTTCCTGACTACAAACGCAACGAGAGCAGCTGCCTCACGTTCCAAACTGTAAGCCAAATTAGACCCCTCTTACCTTGTGTTGATTTTTGTTTTCAGAGTATCTGTGATAGTGAGAGACCAAAGAATTAAAAACTAGGTTTTTGGGGTACTGAGCTAAAAAGTTTAAAGCAGATCAGGCCAGCTGACCTTGCTGCTCACTAGAGGTAGTGTTGCCAGGAAACTGGCCTGGATGGCCTTGCTCCTGGAGATGATAGTCCCCTCTACTCAAGCAGCAGGCTATCAGTCCAGGAGAGGACTGAAGCCCACGGCCAGCCATTTCCCCTCACCCCGCCTTCCTCCCCACCCCCCACTCACCACAAAAGAGAACAAAGAAAGTTGGAACCATTCTGGTCCTGGCACTTTCCCATAGCAAATAATTTTGAAATGTAGCATCCTCTTTTTCTGTATTAAATAGAAGTTTGCCAGGCTAGAATCCCCTGCTTTGGGCATGCTGGGAGGGACTGGGACCTATAAATCACCCACAGTCCAGAGCTCAAATATGTCTGCTGGGTACCAATGCCTTGGTGTCTGTGAGAGTCCAGCTCAAGCTGTAAATAAAGATTCTCATGTATTTTGCAATGGACTTTACTGCTGATGGTCTTTTGGGGATCTTGAAAATTGGGCACAACAATGGCTATTCTTGGTTGTTAATTTGACTACATCTGGAATTAACTAAAATCCAAATATCCGGGTACAGCTGTGAGAAACTTTTTTTTTTTAAATTAAATCTTTTGAAGTGGGAAGACCTCTTTTAATCTGGATCTTTGAGGTGGGAAGATCAACCTTTTCTTCTGGCACCATATATAAAAATGACATGGAAGAAGGAAGCTTGCGTTCTCATTCTCTTTGCCTGCTTCCTTTCACTCTTGCTCCAAAGTCCATTCCTTTGCTGGCATTAGAACCTATTTCTTTGGGATTCTGGCATACACTGTAGACCAGCTGATCTATCCAGCCTTATGTCCTGAACAGCTACTGGATTCTAGGACCTTCTGTTGGTAGATAGCCATTGCTGAACTATCCCATATATAGTTAGAATATATGGGATTATATATATATATGAATATATATATATGAATGGGTTTAGGATATATATATATATATATATATATATATATATATTCATTATATAAGTTCTGTTTCTCTAGAAAGCCCTAATACTGTATCTTATCACAGGAAGAAAAAAAAAGCAACTAGACAATTTCCCAAATAGGAAACAGCAGAACAATTAACTCAATAGTTCTACTCTAAGGCATATACACAAGAATACCAAAACATGTCTACCCCAAAGCTTGAATGGTAGCTTTGTTCATAAGCTACCAAAAAATGGAGACAATGAAAATGCTCACAAAAGGTTTATTTCGGTGAACAAGTTCATTGTCCATCATTGAGTGAAGTCAAAGAGGGAGGTTGGGCAGAAACCACAATAGAATCCTGCTTTCTGGCTCATTCATAGGTTCATACTTAGCTAGAGTTCTCACACAGCTCAGAACCACCTGTCCAGGGAATGGTGCTGCCCACAGTGGGCTGGGCCCCACTCCATCAATTAACAGTCAGGACAACCCGCCCCGGGCTGATCCACAGCCAAGGTGGTCTAGGCAATCCCTAGGAGACTCCCTTTGTCAGGAGATGCTAGGCTCTGTTGGTAGACAATTAAAGCTGATCAGGGCAGTGTGTTTCAGAACACAAATGATCCATACCCTTTTGCAGCTCAGCCTTCTTGCTCCTTTATAAATTGTGAGAATGCAGCCTGTGATATGTGGGCCCTGGATGGAGTCTGTAAACAAACCACCCCAATCCCATTCAAAATAAAGACCTGTGCTGACTCATTCCCAGGTCAGAGGTGTCAGGGCTGTGGCTACTTCCTTCATCCAGCCCCATCCTGCCGAACTCATCAGCCTGGGCAAAGTGGGTCCTTACCGGCACCCTGACAATGGATGCCGTAAGGAATTCCACCAAAGGGAAGGAGGATACAGAACTAAGGGTCTTTCCAGAAAGGCAAAGAAGACAATTAGGCTGCAGGATACTTCATAACGAGGAATCAGAGCAGATGCCACTCCATGATGATGCCACAGAAGGTGGCTTTGAGTTTAAAGAGAAATATTTTCCTGTGTGTGTACACATGTCTACGTGGGTGCATGTACACAGGGGCACATACGTTTGTTTAGGTGTGAGCCAGAGGTCAACCTCAAGAGCGGTCTCCATTTGTTTTTGAGAAAGGGTCTCTCCCTGGCCTGGAACTCAACAAGAAGACTAGGCTGGATAACCAAAGAACCTTAGGGACACCCCCTGACCCCCGTTTCACACTCCCCAGTGCTGGGATTACATACACAACATTGTACCTGGTTTTTCATTGTTTCTGTTTTGTTTTGTTTACGTAGGTTCTGGACCTAAAATTCAGGTCTTGTGCCCACAGCACAAGTAGTTTATTGGCTGACGCATCTCCCAGCCTATAATAGCTTTTCCTTATTCAGGTTCATCAAGGGCAGAATGCACTCAAGTTCAAGAGCAGGAGACCACTGAGTGTCTAATTTGCCCCACAGTACTTCTCAACTTTCTGTGTCATAGAATATTCTTATATCCCAAGTAAACCAAATAGCAGACTCTTTCCCTCTCTCTCTCTCTCTCTCTCTCTCTCTCTCTCTCTATATATATATATATATATATATATATATATATATATATATATATATATACACACACATGCCAAATTATTATTGTCATTATTGTTATAAACAATTTATTTACTTTGTATCCCAGTTGTAGCCTCCTCCCTCATCTCCTCTCGGTCCCACCCTTCCTCCTTCTTCTTCCCTCCGTCTTCCTCCCCATCCCTCTTCCCTGGTCCTCTGATTAGGGGAATATATATATTTTTAATTACCACCTAAGCAGCCCACATTTGGTGTGGACAATTGCTATTTCATTTGATAGTGAAACAGCTATCAGGCGATTCTTACCCCTGGTTTCCAGACAAAGCCATAGTGACTTGGACAGTTTAAGGCTCTCGCCCAGAGACACATGGCAGATGCTCATCCCTGAAGCTGGTTGTGGAAGCCAACAAAGCAAAATGATGCTGGCAGTAGCTGCGGCCCCATTTGGCTGTGACAACAAAAAGATGGGGCCTAGACCTTCTGTAAACACAGACCCGGGAGGGGACCTTTGGAAGAATCAAAGGACTAGAGAAGACACAAGCACCCCCCCCCCCAAAAGAAATTACCATGAAGTTTTTGGTAACCTTGCCTGCTGTCACTATTCTTCAAGAACATGTTTCCTGCCCATTCACAGCCATATGTGAGCCTCCATCTGTGGGCTCCGAGTGCCTCCGCCAAAGCACCAGCCAGCGTCTGTGAGTCCCGGAAACGCTGTTGTGATCTGGGTTTCACGGGTCTGCCAGGGGTGCAGTGCTGGGAGCTGGTTTTAAAGGAGCGTTTACAGACTCCAGAAGAGCCGCTGATAAAGGCAGGCACAGCTACTCACCGGTCCTGGAGAGCAGGAATCTTGGAAGGACACTGCAAATACTGCTTGAACCGGAGCTCAAAGGCTTGTCCAATGGAGCCGATGACATCTTGGGCTAGCCCATCACAGCATTCCAGAATGTGGCAAGCTTGGAGAAAAGGGGACACAAGCTCATTAGAGACAGGGCCAGGGTTTCTGGACCCCTTGACAAAGAGCCCCATCTGGGGTGGAGACAAAAAAAAAAGAAGTTGCACGTACGGTCTTATTTTTAATATTTAAAACTTACTTATTTTTATTTTGTATGTGTGTTTCACCTTTATGTATGTATGTGTGTCACACACATGCAGTGCCTGAAGAGGCCAGAAGAGGGCAAAATGTTCCCCTGGAGTTATGGGTGTTTTCGAGCTTCCCTGTGGGTACTGGGAACCCAAACCAGGTCCTTTACGAGAAGCCCAGGAACATTAGCAACAGATGTAAACTGGTTCCCACTAGATGAATCTTGATCTGTTCAATGGACTTAGAGAAAGTTGCTCTTGACTTAGTACATGCTGACAACCACGTGTAGCTGCAAACATTAAGTGCAGGGACTGAGGGGGTGGCTCAGTCGATAAAGCACTCACTTGATACACCAGCCTGAGGACCCGAGTTCGGTCCCCAGGACCCATTTAAAAAATCAGACTTGGTAGCACAGGCCTGTAATCCCAGCACTCAGGACATAGAATCAGGAAGGTCCCTGGAGTTCTCTGGCCTGCCACACAGTCTCCTCAGTAAGATCCAGGCTCAGTGAGAGAGCCTGCTTTAAAATACAGTAGAGAGTGTGTCTACGTTTCTGTTGCTGCGACAAAACAACCTGACAAAAGCAACTTAAAGGAAAAGGGTTCATCCGGCTCACAGTTCCAGGTGACAGTCCATCACAGCAGGGAGTCAAGGGGGCAGGGGCTTGAGATTTGAAGGTGACTCACTCCGATTTGATCATTTCACTCGCTCTGCCCCATAAACATATGCAATTTTGGGTCAATCAGAAATCAAACAGGGACCAGGAAGACCACACAGCTGGTTAAGTGCTTGCCATGAGAGCGTGGGGACCTGAGTTTAGACCCCCAGAATCCGACTTAAGAGCTGGGTACAGTGGTGCATATGTGTAAATTCAGAAGTGCTGGAGAGGTGAGACAGGAGATAGACCTGGTGCCGGCTGGCTAGCTCAGTCAAATAAATGAGCTCGTGCTTCAGGGAGAGATCCTGTCTCAAAAATACGGTGAGGAGCAGATGATAGAGAAAGATACCCCAAGACTGCTTCTAGACACGCACACATACAAACACACACATAGGGTGGGGGACAATAAGATTTAAAAAGCAAAGAAAATCATGTATTGGAATCCACCAAAGCTGACATGTTGGGAGTTCCATCTCAACAAACATCAATCATTGTGTGACATCACTGATCACCAGGCTCCTGATCTTGGGATGGTTCCCACTGACTTAATGACCAGGGAGGCAGGCCTCTCTCCCTTCCATTATAGTAACCAGTGGAGCCATGGGCTCTTAATGACTGAGAGACAAAGTCTCAACGGAAAAGCATGCAATATTATTCTGCAAGGTAAGGGCCTCGTTTTCCCCACAGTACTGCATGTTAGTCTCAGAGGGAGGCTGGGGAAGGGACCAAGCGCTGATGGAGGAAAGCCTGGCCCCTTGAGTCTGAAAGGTGAATGGGCAGAGGATGGCTGGACAGCGGAACACCACAGAAGCTGGGCCCTTACATGGTCCAAAGTAAAGTGCTCAGAGACCACACACCTCAGGGGCATAGGCAGAGTCACACAAAGTACACGCATGGCGGGGTACATGTCGTATGTGTGCATGCCCGTCTGGAGTCCAAGGCCATCAGGTGCCGTTCCTCGGCACACATTCACTTTGTTCTATGAGAGAGGGTCTCTCGTCGGCCTGAGACTTACCGACCGGGCTAGGCCGGCCAGCAAGCTCCAGCAACCCACCTATCCACACCTTTCAGTACTGGGATTACAGGGGAGTGCCACCACACCTGGCTTCTCAGGTGGGTTCTGGGAAATGACTTCAGATGCTCAGGCTGGCACAGCAAGTGTTTTGCCAACTGCGCTGTTTCCCCAAAGAGCTGTTTAAATACATCACTACCTGGATCCCATTTTCTCGGACCAGAGTGTTGAGATTTTTTCTTACAGGGCCCCTAAGTAACTCTCAGGTGTAGCTCATTTTGAGGACCCTTGACCTGGACCTACTAAAGAAGTCTGAATAACCAAAATTGCTCAGATCCCTCGAAGTTAATTTGAAACAAACCAGAACAGAGAACAAACCCCAGGTGCTTCTAACCCAGACAGAGTTTGGGGGGGCCAGAGCCTGAGGCCTCCCCTCCTCCATACCCTCCCTGATTTGGGGGATACTAGGATAGTTAAAGGGGCTGGCTTATGCAGTGGGCTCAATTACAAGCCCCATGAAAAACAAGTTATGCCAAAAATCCTAACTGCAGGACCCCAGAAGTGTCCTTACCTGGAAACCAGGCAGTTTCAGATATAATTAGTTAAAACAAGGTTATGGTGGGATAGGAGGGGCCCAGAGCCACCATGGACTGTCATCTGCATAGACAGCCATGCACATTCACAGAATCAGGGAGAACAGCACATAAGGATGGTTCAGTGGTGCCCTGCACAGGGACAGAAGCCGCAAGTAGGAGGAGGGATTTCTCCTCCAGGCACCAGGGGAGCCCATATGGCTCTGCTGACACCACGAACTGGGCATCCAGCCTCCAGAACTGTGAGGCAACATGTCCTCGTTGCCTTCAACAACTTAATCTGTGTTTGCTACTGCAGACACCAACCTCTAAGCCTGCAGCTAGGACTTGTGCTCAAGTGGACCAGGAGCAGTCCTGACTGTCATGGTATAACCCTGCTAACCCAGGACCAGCGCTGGCGATGTACAGTAACCCGAGAAGATGCGCTAGAGGTGATGCTAAGAAAGCACCTCAGGGCCCTCCCAGCACCTCCTTCTCTCCTCAGGCCTGTCTGAATCCTTAAAGAACAGTCACAGTGGTTGGCAAAGTGCTTGCCTTAGATGCACAAGGATCTGAATTTGATTCCCTGGAAGCCATGCTTAAAAAAAACAAAACAAAACAAAGAAAACAAGAAAACAGCACAAGCCGGTAACTCAGCGCTGGGAAGGCCCTGGGACTCACTGGCCAGCTAGCCTAGCCTGCTTAGAGAATTCCAGGCCAGTGAGACTCTGCCTCAAAAAAACAAGGTGGAAGATACGTAAGGAATGACACTCACTGTGTTCTTCTGGTCTTCACATGCACACTCACACATGTACACCTGCATGCACATGCACGCGCACACACACACACACCTTTACACAACTGTCTAATCATCCCAGCTCTGTTCCAGGAAGACAAGGCAACGGTTCTAGACTAGGAACCTGTGCTATCTCCAGGAGCCTCCTCTCTCCCCACCATCCTAAAGGAAGACTGTCGATGAAGCTCCTGCACCCAGAACTAACTGGCTGGGGGCCCAGGAGGAAAGAGCCCCGAGCGCTTAGCGTGGCAATTCCAGTGTTTACAGCCAAGTTGGAAGCAGTTTGCAAGGACATTCAACATATTAACTGTCTAACCAACCCCCTTGCTCTGCAAGAGCCTCTAGCCACGTGTCACACAGTGTGATAAGACACCTGACAAAAGCAATCTAAAGAAGGAAGGACTTATGTTGGCTCACAGTTCGAGGGCACACAGTCCGTCGTGGCAAGGAAGGCAGGGGGGCAGCTGGGCACACTGCCAGAGTCAGGAAGCAGGATGAACACTGGCGCTCAGCTCACTTCGGGATTCCAGCCAGTGGGTGGTGTCACCCTCAGGTAGGGTGCCCTCCCACTTCACCTGATCCAGTCTAGACTCTCCCCCTCAGACAGTGCAGAGCTTCGCCAACTAGGGGCCTCTAGGCGTTGTCAAGCTGCCGGCATTACCCATCCATCGCACATGGTGTCTGCTCAAAAATGGCTTAGCCACGAAGAAGGGTTTGCAGAAGCCCCCTGCAGCTAAGGGAGAGCCCCCATCGGAAATCAATCTGCCCTTAGGGGTCGTCTTGAACATATATCCGAGATACAGGTATGGGAGGAGGGTGTCAGAACAGAGTGTTGAGTTTGTTTGACAAGAGGGAGAAAATGTGTCTGTGAGTATGCAAACAAAGTGAAAAGCCAGCTGCTGGCACATAGGACAAAGGTCAAGGGTCAGGAAGGGGCCAGTCGGCCGTGTAGGGAGGTGCCACTACGCGTGGCCACAGATTCCGCTGATTTTGTCGATGAGTTTTCACTCATGGGTTATCAGGAGCTGCCTGGTATTCAAGGGTAATATCACTCCGAGCCCACCTTCCCAACTGTGTTATTATTGCTCTGGTCCTATAAATGACATCCTTCCCCCCAGAAGCTCAAAGGGGGTGTGAGGAGACAGCACACCCCAAGCTTGGGTGCTGGGCCCTAGAGAAGAAGATAGGAGGGTGTGCACACCCTGGGTGAGGCTGGGCAGGGGGCTGGGCAGCGGCAGTGTTTCCCAGGCCACGGGATGGTGTGAGAGGCAGGCACATCAAACCACGGCCATCCTGATGCAGGTGTGAGTTTGGTGCTCAGCATCTCTCTCAGCCAGGTGACAAGCTACCCTGGCACACCTCAAGTACCCTTAATCATGTCACGTGAACGCTAAAGGATAATGAGGAGCATCTGTGTCACAGCATTAGGCCTGCCTCACACGAGTGCATGATTAAATGGGTCAAGTGTTGCTTACCTCTGCGATTGACAGGGTCCTTAGCGACATAGGCAACATAGTCTGTTGTGTCCTGTGGAAGGGAAAGGAGACGTTTGTATCACACATCACTGCAGGAAGTAAGGCCAGAGGGACGCAGAGCCCAGCATGCTGGGCGTCCGTTCATCCATCACACAGCCGAGAATCAGAGCGGGAAGGAAAGCTCATGGACCAGTGCTTCCCTCACATGGGAGGGAAAAGAAGGAAGGGGAGGAGAGAGGAAGGGGGGAGGGCCAAATACTACACACAAAATTGTCCAAAATGGACATGGTTTGAGGCATGTCCTCAGACTTGGATGTGGCTGAAGATCTCCAGGGATCTGAGTACAGACTGGGCCAAGCCTGAGGAGTCATGACCAGCTAGTACAGACAGCTCTACCCAGCTCCCCAGGTGTGCACGCTGCCAATCTGTGACCACACTCAGAGCAGCCAGGGGTGACGGGCACCTGACTTCCCATTGCTGGCTCTCCTTGAAGACTTTCAGAACCAGTGCTTGGTTCATCTGACGTAGCTGGTTTGGATTTAAGACCTGGCCATGAGGACCCTCTTATAGCTCAATATGAACTGAAGTCAAGAGAGGCAGCTGTCAGAAACATGTATGTGCACCATCCTCAACTTGGAGTTTCTGTGAGAATCCCCTAAAGGCTCAAGACAGGTAGCTGAGCTGTACCCCGGTTTTCTACCTGGAACCCCAAGTTCCAGCTGCTGCGGGATTGGAGGCTATACTGTGAGAACTAATCATTGGGAAAACATTAGGGTAGGTGTTCAAAGACTGGAGAACCACAGTAGGCAAGAGACGAAAACAGTCTAGTTGTCCTTCAACAGATGAGGGTGAAAGAGAAAGCCTGCTGTAGCTGCACCATGGAGTTTTACGAAGAACGAAGTGATCTCATTTCCAGGAAAGCAGGTGGAACTGGGAGTCATTCTACTCATCGAGGTAAGAGTCAGAAAGACTCATACATCAACACTGAAAGATGAACGTCATGAGAGTAGAAGGGGGCTACCAGGAAAAGGAGGGGCTGGGAGGAGAGTAAACCATGTAACTCTGATCAAAGTATGCCGTATGCATACACGGAACTGTCATAATAAAACCCCCTCGTGTGAAACAATAGTGCCTGCTAATTTGAAACATTGTAAATGTTTTTTGTTTTTGTTTTTAAGCCCCACAAGCTTTATTTAGAAGAGTCTCACCCCATGGGGAAAGGAGCTTCGTAGCCTAGCCCACCTTCTGAGGCCCCGGTAGGCGGCACAGGCGGCCCCTGTATACTCACTTCTCAACAAGGAGCCAGGGACCTGGTCATTTTCCAGTGCTGAGCAGTGGGGCTGGGAGGGGACAGTATGTGCACATACTCCAGGTGCCCACGGAGGCCAGAGGTGCTGGGCCCCTGAGCTGTTGTGAGTGCTCGGAACCAAACTTGGGTCCTGTGGAAGAGCTCTTAACCTCTGAGCCATCTCTCAAGATCCAGTTTCTTAATTCTTAAAGTCACGGAGAGACTTGTTGACAAACTTGATGTTTTTAACATTCAGAACGACAAACCAAAAAAGCCTTACGGTGTCTGGGGTAACTTGGTCCTCAGGAGCTGTTAAGTCTGGGGCTGTTGCTTCATCATAGAGCGCTCTCAACCAAGCACAAAGCTCTGGGCTCAGTCCCCAGTGCCTCCCTCCCTCTACCGACCAAACAGCAAATGGAAACGCTGTTCTAGGTCCAGTTGCTCTAACAGACACCCTGCCTTAAAAGCAGCTTAGGGAAGAAAGGATGTATATGGCTCAGACTTTCTGGTTATGGTTCGTTATTTCGAGGACATCAGGGCAGGACTTTATAGCTTCACATTCACAGACAACAGCAGAGAGAGACTCAGTGTATGGGCCCTAGCTGGCTTCCTTCTGCTCAGCGTCCTTTCTCCTCTCTTCTCCTGTTTGGGAGCCCTGCCGAAGGACAGCTGCCACCCACAGTGGTCTGGACCACAGGCCACTTTTCAAATTCAGGTTCTCTTCCCAAGTGACTCTATGTGATAACACAGTTGGTGAGGGTTAAAACGAACTGGCGCACACACAGAGGACAACTTGAAAGGTCAGCCTGTTTTTGTAGTTGTTTTCCAAACCTTATGCTCCAAAGGCTTCAAGCTCATCCCCTGCTCCTTATGCCTTGCAGTGGTTTGTGCTGACATGTACCTGAGGAAGTGCCTTCTCTCCTGATCACACAGATCCTGAAAATACTGCCAGGAGCGTGGAGGGGAGGGGATGGATGTGGGGAAGGAGGAGTGGACACGGTGCCCTCCAAGCCTGCAGGAGAACAGAAGCAGGAGGATTCTTCCAGGTGCAGACAGAAGAGCCCTTTTCCCTGTGGCTCATCTTGAACAGAGCCCATTTTCTGGTCTCTGTAATATTTCCCAGGCCAACTGGGAAATACTGGAGAAAGGGCAGAAGACTGTAAAATGGCCTCTGTTCGTATCTGTGGAGGGGCCTCTCCTGAGTATTTAAAACTGTTGGCAAAAATATGGATTGCAGGTTATGATTCTTCACTTTCCTCCTAGACCCACGGGATGTGAGAGTCTCACAACTGTCCTAAGGAGCCTCGGGAACATCTTAGCCAGCAGAGCAGACCTTTGGGTCCCTGGACTCTGCTCTCCAGCCCCAGGTTTAGCTTTCCACAGTCTTTTAAAACTCACTGAGAGCCTTAGAGCATCTGTCCAACCGTCTTGAGATAGTTCTGGGTATGGTTACAGGGTTGAGATTAAAACTCTCAGCCAGCTTTCCCACACCACAGGAGCTGGGGTTTTTCAAGAAGCAGAGTTGATGCTTTTGCCCTAATTGACCCAAACTTCTGTCACTTTTGCGCCTATGAATGCCACAGTGAAGGTTGTGTTTGAATAGAAGAAATTAGCAGAAAAATTAAATCACCTGGGTACCATGGTAGTGGAGCTACCGACTCTGGCAGGCAGCTCAGAGACACAAAGAAGGCAGGAGGGGGTGCGTTTCATTTCAACAAACTGTCTTTGTGGGACATGAATGTAACTGCGTACGATCAGATGTACAGTCTTCGTTTGTAGCTTCCGACTCTGACGGGGGGTTAGAGTTGAAGGAAAACATCCAAACACAAGGAGTCTATTGCTTAATTTTTATATATAGCCAGGGAACAACATTAGTTCCAGCCAGCACTAGTGGGCATACAAGGAGCTCCTATTTCTCTCGCTCTCTCTTTCTTTCTTTCTTCCTTCCTTCCTTCCTTCCTTCCTTCCTTCCTTCCTTCCTTCCTTCCTTCCTTCCTTTCTTTCTCTCTAGAGCGGGTTGGTTCTTTTCATAGTCTAAGAAACTACACTGTGGCTGTGAAAGGAAAGCCAAGGAAGATATAAGATATAACGTCCTTCTCTCAGATGGACCATGGCCGAGCTAGGACATAGCCATTCTGTGATTGGTCCCGAGCTTTATCTGGCATTGTTTCCTAGTGTATTGGGGTTCAGAAGTGTCCTTGGCACTGCCCAGTTGTACAGTGGGCACACCATATTCCAGAGAAGAGGCTGTGGGGGTCTTGTTCTGTACTTATTCCGTCCCTGATCTCAGTCCCCAAGACCCTCTGAGATGGGCCATTGTGTGGCCTCCTCTCCTGTTTCTTGAGTGTGATGCAGGCTGCTGAGGGGTGGTCAGGCTCAGCAGCCATTCTTCAGCCTTTATCTTGAGATAGGGTCTGCCTTCTGCTGGAACCTGGAGCTCACCAGTTAAGCCAGCTGGGATCCCCCATGTCTGCCCTCCCAGTGCTGGGTTATAGGTGTGCACCTTTTCACACGGGTTCTAGAGATTGAACTCAATTTCTCATGCTTGCACAGGAAGCGCTTTACTGAGCCGTCTCCCTAAACCCTCCTGGTGATCTCTGGACACTGGGAATTAGGATATGCTGTGTGGGGTTTTTTTTGGGGGGGGGTGGTTTTATTTGTTTGTTTGTTTAGGGTTTTTGTTTTGTTTTGTCCTGGACTCACTTTGTAGACCAGGCTAGCCACAAACTCACAGCAATCTGCCTGCCTCTGCCTCCCCAAGTGCTGAGAGGACAGGCGGGCACCACTGTGCCTGGCTGGAGTTAGGGTATGCTACCATCACTACATAGTCCTTTGTGGAGAAGGAAGGATTAATGGTATTTTCAAGTCTCACTTGTTTGCCATTTGTCATTTTTATCTGTTTCCTACTGGGTGGACTGAGAAGAAAGGCAAAAATGTACAGTTAGCAAGACAATAAGGAGCCCAGAATCGTTTTGTCTCAAGAGACAAAACTCCATAGCCCGGTCTAGTTGGAAACTCAAAATACTCCTACCTCAACTCCTGCATGCTGGGATTATGTGCATCTCCTCACACCTGAACCAGGACAGTTTTGGGGTGAGGGGGAAAAATCTCAGAAAATATAAGATGTTAGAGATCATTTCAGATGTTACTGAACGTTTTCAGCCTTTTGTTTATTAAGAGAGATCTCTTACATATTATGTGTGTGCAGACCAGGCTAGCCACAGGCTGGACGCTCACAGATCCTCTGCCTCCTGAATACTGGGATGATAGGTATGCCTCACCACACAGCTAGTCCCTTCTTCTTCTTCTTTTGTTTCAGATAAGAATAATACAATCTTTGGAAGGGTTTATAGTCTTGAGCATATCCTGGAAAAATGAAACATTTTTAACAAAAGACAAAAGACGATGTATTTGGTTTCCCAAGGTCTCACTATGTGCACCTCTGCTCCTTCTATCACTAAGCATGATTTCAGAGAATTTCCAGAAGGGGGAGCTAGCTATGCAAATGAGAACTGGGTGGCCACCAACATTTAAGATTCTGTGGTGGCGCCTTTGCACTGCCACCAGTCAGCCACGGAAACTACTTTGAGCTAGAGGTGAGGGGATGACGCTGAAGCTCTTGGCCTGGGTGTGGGCGTCAGACTCAGGCAGGTGGGGTATGGGTTACACGGACACGAGGACATTGCTGGGGTCTAAATGGTTCCTCAAAAACTGCTCCAGTGAGGAAGGTGTGATCCCAGCTGGTGAACCCCATCACTGGTAAGTGATTGGATCACGAGAGCTGGAATCTAAACCATGGGTTACCCCCCAGGTGAATTGACGGTGTGTTGGATAACTCTAACGTCAACCTTGACACTGCCTGGAACCACCTCAGCAGACAGTCTCAACTAAGAAACCATCTAGACCAGGCTGGCCTGTGGGAATGTCTGTGGGGGATAGTCTTGATTGCTAATTGGTATAGGCAGAGCCAGAAATTTCACTTTGACTTCCAAAGTGTGCAAACAGCATTTCTTTGGTTGTGCCATTCCCGTGTATGAATAGAGAGGGCTTTTAATTTTTTGTTCTTAACTGCTGAAAACTTTACCCAGAACAGTAAAAATTAATATGAGAACATTAGGAAAGAGCCTTTCTTCTGCTGGAAAGAGCCAGGCCCATTCCCTTCTTCCTCCCTCAGGTTTTTGCTCCCTTTTGTATTACCCACCTGTCTTTGAGGTAGTTTTGGAAATGTAGTAGGGAAACAACCAAGGAAGGCAAGCATGGCAAGACTGATCAGACACACGGGGCTATTGCTACCTCTCAAGGAAGCCATGCTGCCAGCCCTCCTGACACCTCATTGCTGGAAAGTAATGGCAGGACCAGGTCATAGGTTACCACACCCATACACCAAATAACAACTGAAATAATAGTCAAGCAATAGCTTAATATAGAGTGATTGCTTAGCACTGGCAAGGCTCTCAGCTCAGTCTGTAATACAGAAAAATGAAATGGAAGGGGAAGGAGAGAGGAGAGGAGAGGAGAGGAGAGGAGAGAGGAGAGGAGGGGGGGGGAGGAGAGGAGAGGGGAGGAGAGGGAGAGGGAGAGGAGAGGGGAGGGGAGGGGAGAAGAGGAGAGTGGGAAGGCAAAGGAGTTCTGAATCCATGAGGGATAAACATCTGGAATCAAAGCTTCAGGGGTCATGATTACTTTACTTTCCAAGCACAGGCGCTTTATCAGATTGGAATTCCACCCAGTCTGAAATGTAACTGATGCTAAAACAGCTGGACTGTTATTAGAAACATAAATTGGGGTTTCATTAAAATCAGCACAAAACACTTTTGTGTCATGCCTTCAAGGGGCACATCTTTGAAGCAGAGGTTTCTTCTCAGAAATCCCCAGCAAGAGCAAGAGAAATGAGCCAAGGTCACTCACCGGGTCTCCCCCTGAGGCAAAGGAGATGGACTGCATGTGATGGTTCGCTATGATCTGCCAGGCGGAGACAAGAAACGAGAGGGACCGTTAGTGCCTTCCCACGTTCCCCAGCGCCTGCTGCGCTGGCAGACAACACAAATGCCAGGATTTCCTGAAAAGTCCCCCGAAGGGAACGACACCTGTAAACCACGGATTCAGGAGCGCGCCTGCCTCCCGGTGCGCGCCCTGGTGGCGGCCATCTCTCTGATGGACTAGAAGGCCTTATTAAGCCTCCCGGCTGCTGAGGAGTGAGAATTGTGGTGAGCCCGTTTTACAGGCACAGAGCATGAGGCCAGAGGGACCAAGTGGTTTGTTCAAAGTGAGAAGTGTAGTAGTTCCAGGTCTGTGAAATCAAGGCTCCAATCTGAGGTCAGGGTCTCAACAAGAAAACTTGAGCCCCCTGGGGAGAGGGATCAGTTGGTAAAATGCTCGCCGTACAAGCAGGCAGACCTGGGTTCAATCCCCCAGACCCCCGTGAAAAATAACTGGGTGTGGTGACCACAATCCCCGTACTGAAGAGGAAGAAACGAGTGGCTCCCTGGGGCTAGCTGGACAGGCAACCCCAGCTGAATGAGCCCATTTCAGACCAGCAGGAGACCCTGAACCGACTGGCAGACACTGCCTGATGGAGGTCAGCAGAGGATGACATGTGGCCTCCACACATCTTCACACGTATGTGCATATACACCCATACACATACATGCATATACCACACACATGTGCACACACACACACACACACACACACACACACATACACACACAGAGGAACGATATCGTACCAAAACGTTACAAATTGTAATTTCTGCTTCCCCCCAAAATGAGAGCCAGGACATCCTGTCTCACTCCCTCCCGTTCAAATCGGATGTGTGTGAATCAGAAGGCCAGCCCCGAAGAATTAAGTCCCTCTAATAATTCACCGGCTCTTCCGCATTCATCTTAAAGTGGAAAATTTCCGTCAGGTTTCTAAGCTGTGGCATCTGTGGAATTCAGCAGACACAGAGCGAATTAGAAGCTGCCCTAAATTCTCAAAGCTATGTACGTCCTCCATGCTATTTTTATCTTTTTAAAGACAATAGGATGACACTGAAGGAAAGTTCCTGTGTGGAGAGGAGCTCCCAGTCCCATCTCAGTGCAGCCAGGTTTATTTCTGAGCAGTGGTCTCCGCCCTTATCCCCAGCAGAAAATACTATTATGAGAGAAAATTTAAACTGTTTTAAAATGCTGACTTTGCTTGTTGACATTTGCAAAACCTCCATCTAGAGAAACCTGAGGGTTTAAGGGAGTACAAAACGGTGAGACTGCTGGGCAGCCTGTGCCCAAGCCCCAGGCAACTAAACTAATGAGCTGTCCTAGAATCCTGCTACTGATGGGCAAGCAGCTCCAGAAAGAAGGCTAAGGCAACGGAATCCCCAACAGTAGACTAGGACTTCGGTCTTGTCTTTTCTTGGGGTGGGGTTGAAACAGGGCTTCTTTTAGCCCAGGCCGACCTGGAATTCATGTCGCTGAGGGTGGCCTTGAACTTATGATCCTCTCGACTTTACCTCCTTACTAACTGGCTTACAAGTGTGCCCTGCCATGCCCAGCAGTTTCTAATGCTGCATAATCAATTTTTGTGTGTTTAACCTTCTCTTTATTTAATTTTTCTCATAAGCCATCTCAAGGGCTGAGGGGATGGCTCAGTTGATAAACTGCTTGTCACACAGGAATGAGGACCTATTTGATCCCCCAGAAAACTGGAAAACCTGAGACTGGAGCCTATAATCCCAGCGCTAGGGAGGCAGAGAAGAGAGATTTCCTGGGGCCTGCTGGCCGGCCAGTCTGGGCAAATGTGTGAACTTCAGACCAACAAGAGACCCTACTTCAAAAATCAAGGTGACAGTGTCTAACGATCTTCAGCTGAGGTTGTCATCTGGTTTACACTCGCACAGAAACACACATACACACTCACACACACACAAACACAGAATACTGCAGACACACACACACCATACACAGTACACACAGATGCACACACAGACACACACACCATACACACACACACACACACACAGACATATACAACATGCACATCATACCACATACACAAACAGCACACACAACACACACACCACACCATGCCACATACACAAACAGCATACACATTTCACAACACACACCATACACACACACACACAAACACACACATATTATATATATATATACCACCCACCACACACCACAAACTCACATGTCCCACACTAGCCAGGACCTGTGATCACTGTCATGATGGCCTCTCGCCCCTCCAAGCTCCCAAGAGAGAGACACGGGGGTAAGAAACCTGAGCCCAGTGTTCTGTTCAGTGTGGCACATGTTTCTCCTCTAAGGGATTCAGCTCCCTCTGCTTGGACCTCAGTGCTGCAGAGTGTGTGCTGTGTGTCTGCTCCCTGGGTGGAAGGAGCAGAGACCTCTGCTTCCTGCATTTGCTACAGTGGGGACCTAAACTCAGGACACAGGAAAGGCCCAGCCTATGCTCTGCCTATGCTGGGACTCCTTTATTACCCTGGCTGGTGGCCCCTGGGTGCTGGGAAAACTGCACTGAGACCCAGCTAACATATGGCATGGGAGTGAGAATTAAACACCCAACTAGACTGTCTGTACCATCCCAAGGCCGAACAGGGCCCTGGACCAGCTGTGCTGGCATTATCTTGACTGGGCCTTCTCTTTCACTCAGTGGAGAATGAGTGAGGAGGGTAGAGAGTTAGAGCCTAAAGGCCCCTGGAAATGGATGGTCTGTGTGCCACAGAGGTCAGACTCCAGTTGGCATGGTTATCTAGAGTCTAGTAGGTCAGCTCCATGGACAGCTGTGGCTCAGCTTAAGACAGCCACAGGCCGGGCAAAGACAGGCTGACCATGCATCCCAGCTCCACAGCCTCAAGGGATGGTTAGTCCAACCCTTAGAAAATTACTAGAAAGAGATTATCAGTGGGTCCCTGGGAGACAAAAAGGTAGAATGAGAAGCTGCAGTCAATTATGTCTCAACAAAACCCTGATTTAGTTCTCATTCTACATTCGATCTAATTTGTCTCTACATCTTGGGGATAGATGGTAGGTAGGTAGATGATAGACAGACAGACGGATGGACGGACGGACGGACAGACAGACAGACAGATAGACAGACAGACAGACAGGCCTAAAACAGTCATCACATAGAAATGCAGCCATCCAACCGGAATTTGCTTTTCTAAGTGTGGCTGCGCTTCCCGGGTCTCCATGCTGCCTACACTGTAGGGATGCCACAGCTCATTAACCCCGAGACAGGAGGGACTCTACGTGGCTCCAAAAAGGAAGAAAACTCCTGCCTATTAAACCACAGCACACAATCCACCGCAAGCAGGAGAAGATTACAATGTGACCCATAAAACCAATAAAGCATGGCTACAAAAGAAGGGCAGACAGCAAGACATTTGCACAGAAACCACCATTCTGTATGTTACAAACACACCAACAAAAGAGAAATAACTTAGAGCAGAATTCCAGAGAACTACTCATCCGTCTGTGGGTGCACTGTCAAAACGGCCAAGGTTCAAGGCCTGGCCAAGCAGCTTCTGTGTGGGTTCAGTAAACTCTGAGCCAGAAGCCCCTGGGATGTCCACCTGGGGCCCACGGAGCCTGGACCCACACACCTGTTTGGAGTCGGGCGTGCGCAGATTCAGACTGGCGGTGGAGATGGTCAGGGAGATGCTCATCCCTGCGAACTGGAGGTTGCTCTTCCCCAGGATGCTGGACAGCATCTTACTTGGAGGCTGTGAAATCCAAGGGTGATACTTTAGCTTTTGACCTAAACTCTCTCTGTGCCTTGAAAGGGCAGAGGCAGAGATGTCAGTATACCAACCCCACCCCCACCAGACCCTCACTGCCTGCTCCTGCCTATGGGGGCACCAGAGACAGGCAAATGTAAAATGGAGAAGCTGGGAAAACAGGAGCCCATACCAACACGCACATTCAGGAAAATGAGCCAGGGAATTATAAACTGCCTAACAGGTAAGTTCTGGGGAAATAGCTGCCTTTGCCATATGCTGGTGTCTCTTTGGGTCCCCTAGGTATAAACCTGCAGAAACCACACAGGCAGGACATCACAGCTTTGCAGACACCAGAATCTGGTCTCGGCTCACCAAAGCTCAGAGTGCCTCTTAGGGAAGCTGAAAGCAACAGAGCTCCGAGGCTTAAGAGCAACCTCAGAGGGTCACCAGGCTCTCTCCTGAAAGGAGTCCTCCCCAGAAGTGGCTCTCTGTTAAGGGCTCACCTGGACAGCCCTGTTAGAATCTGAGCCAGAGCCAGGGCAGAGAGCCAGGGTGGCTGTGATCAGCGCCTACACCACATGTCAGCAAAGTCCTTACAGGGGATCTCAAAGCACTTCAGTGTCTAGCCAGGCACCTTCTCCTGGATTTCTGGGTATATACTGAAGCCCCCTCCTGTGTCCTCTGGGACCAAAGCACCCTTTCCATTTGGTCACAATGCACTGCTCACGATGCCAAACAGCTCCTAATCGGACTTGCAGTTCTCTAACCCACTAGGAGAGAAAACGCAGCAGCAGAGGCTGTCTATAAACTGGAGCCGGGACACAGAAGGTCACAGCCCTTTGCTGAAGCTCAGACCATGGGCAGTTTCTGTGACGCAGATAAGAGGCCAAATCCAGACCTGCCGGCCTCGTGTACCAACCACTCGGTGGGAAGTAGCCTAGTTAACGAACCAATCAGAGTGGATTTGCAGCTCAGGGTGTCTGCCCAGCCAGTGACCTGTCTAAAAAGACCTTTAGTGGAAAGCTTCTGTTTCAAAAGAAGAAATCCTGCTGAACTTACCTCCTGTGTTTGCCCTGGTTTGGCATACCCAAACTTTGGCTCTTTGCTCCCAGATAGATGCTATTTCCTTTAGTATCCCTGACAATTTTTATTTTCTTCTACTTTTTTTTTAACTTAATGCTTCAAAAGGAGCCCTTTAGAGAACGTATCTCCCCCATGTGAGAGTCCAGTGCATCTGGGGCACAGCCTGGAGAGGCACCATTAGTTCCCTCTCTTCCCACCAAGAGGAGCACACGGGAACCGTGAGACCCGTTAGGACCATGGCTCTCAGAGACAGTGCTCCCTGCTGTTCAGGGGACGCCTTGCTTCCTGTACTCAGGATTCCAGAGCTTTGCTTGGTTCCCAGGACCCCCAGGGGACTGTCCATCATATAACCTGAGCCGCTAAGTTCTGGGCTCCAGCCCTGTTGCCATATAGGTTCACGAGTATCCTCAGTTCTGAAGACAGGAGTGACTTGGAGTCAAAACCATGTGGGATGTGAAAGCCCAGACTGGGGCAGGTATAAGGCTCTGTGTGGGATGCTTTCCTACCGATCCCTCCTACATGCATGACAGTCAAGACTGTGGGTGCTGAATTAGTTATTTCTCAGATACCTAAGGAGAGATGGACAGGTTAATTCAATGTTTCCTTCTTTTCTTATTGTGACATATATCTTGTGTGTGTGTGCAGATGTGTGCACGCATGTGGAGACCCATGGTTGTCAGTGTCCTCCTCTACAACTCTCACCTTATATTTGGAGACAGAGTCTCTCACAGAACCCGGAATGTACCAATTCTGCAGCCCTGACCAGCCAGCTAGCCCCCAGGATCAGCCTGGCTCTGTTTCCCCAACATTGCTGCTGCAGCCATGTGCTGTCATGCCAGGCTTTTTACATGGATGCTGGGGTCTTCATGTTTATGCAACAAGCACCCACTAGCTGAGCCATCTCCCCAGCCCCCACATACTTTCCCCTCCTTGTCCAGCCATATACAGAATGGAAAGTTCTAGAAGTGTAGTTGAACATGCAGGTTCTGGAGCCAGTGGTCTGGCTTGACCATGGCCCCAGCTCCTGTTCATGTTGTGGCTTCTCAGCCCAGACCCTCAATTTTTGTCATCTGTAACACAGGGCATTCTAATGACACAGCTGAACCAGCTCAGGAAAGCCAATGCTAGGTCCTTAGAAATGTTATGAGCTGACCACTAAGCACAGCTATTACTGAAAGTTAATTTACACAAACTCACAACTACATAGATGGCACCTAGAGATGGGAAATACTTGCTACCTGGCCCCATGCTACTGCACCTGTACTTCAGGCCCCATCTGCCGTGCCTGGGGGAAATGCAATACAGTGATGCGCTGCTGTGTGACACTCCCTGACTCCAGGGACTTTGCATTGAAAGCTTGAGTCAGCCATGTGGAAGTATTTACACCATATTAATTGGCACCATTACAAATTCAATGTCCTACTTTCTTCTCCCAACTCTAGGATCCAGTTGTTAAGTATTTGCTAGCACACACCACTGGGGTAGCTGCCAGGTGAGCCATTAGGGGTAAGGGAATTCATGTATGTAATGGGCTGAAATGGCTGCTTAGCCAGTTGTTAATTGTTATCACTGTCTCCACAGTTTAAGCCACAGTGAGCATCTACAACATCTTCTTGAGGGAGATGGGGCAGCCAAGGCCTTAGACTGGTGCTTTACCTTAGGAAACAAGCAGATCCAGGTGGGACAGTTATGTGGGTGAAGACGGAGCATAGCCCTGAGAGGACATGAAGAAGGACACAGACACACCGTGGGGGCAACAGTACCTTTCTCTTCTTGAAGGCTCCTTTGGCACCTGGCACAGCTTCACAGGCACGGCTGATGGCTTCCCTGGGGGAGGGAAAGAGTCGTGTTATTACATGCCAGTCAGGGTTATGTAACTCAGAGAGTCTGCACTCAGAGGTCCAGGGGAAATAACAGCCTGCTTATTTTAGCATGGAAAATTGGCCCTCCAAGCGCCTCTTCTCCATCAAGCAGAATTAAGCTGAGCACAGACAGGTCATCGTAAAACTTTTGCCATATTCTAGCTCTCTCTTCATGTCGTGGTACAAAGATCAACACCACACTTCTTTTTTCTTTTTCTTTTTCTTTTTTTTTTTTTTTTTTGGCTTAACTAAGATTTCATTTGTAGAATCAGCACCTGAAGCCCACCCTCCCCAGTGAGTTCTTCCATTATGCCAATCATGTCTTTAGCAATGTCTTGTCAGGGTCAGAGCACCAGGACCAGACCCCAAACCAGCCAGCACAGCTCACTGGGCTCCTTCTGAAGTGGGTTTGAATGCCACTGGAGGAAACATGATTCCCATTTTAAACACAGCCAGCAAGCTGGGGCTGTAGCCAAGCTGGTACAGTGCTTTCCCAATGCTTCTGAAGCCCTGGATTCTATCCCAAGCACCTCACAAACCTAGCTTTGCTAGTACATACCAATAATCCTAGCACTCTGGAGAGAGGGACAGGAGAATCCAAGGTTCAAAGTAATCCTCACCTATAATGGTGAGTCTGAGACCACCCTGAGGTACATAAGACCCTATCTCAAAAAAAATACAGACAGACAGACCCAGGCTTCTCACTCAGCTGATGGTTTTCCAATGTGACGGTGGTGTGACAGTGATTCATATTCAGTAGAAACCGGGCCTTGAATTTTCAACTCTAATCTTGAGTTTCATGTTCTAAAATACTTTGTTTCTTGTTAAGTATGCGTTCACTGTACATACCATGATAGGTTAATGGCTACCACACTGATGTGCACTGATCAAGTCCAGCTTTCCTTGCTCCATCTTCCATCAACACATAGCCTACACACACACACACACACACACACACACACACACACACACACACACACCCCTTCCTTGACCTTTTGTAACATATTCCACACTCAAGTCTGCTGTTTTCAGCTTCTCCATGTGAGAGAGACAGCCCACAGTGCTTGTCTTCCCGTGTCAGGTTCACTTTGTTTAACGTGATTTCCTGTGATCCTTTCCATAGGACCTTCTCTGAGCGCTGGGCATGAACAGCAGCCCTCAGCCTCAAAGTCTGTGCCATGATCACCAGCAGAAACCACCAACGCTCAAGTCCTGCTAAGCCATCATGTTCTAGCATATTCTCTAGGTTCAGTACAATCCCATGATAATTTTCACTTGTAGTGGGCTTCAAAGTTGAGGAGTGGCCATGTTACAAAACCCAGAGGCTTTAAGAGTGTGTAGGGGTGAGACTGTGTGCCTCAAGAACTGTATTGGCTGAGCACTGTTCTGAGTCAAGGGATGAGTTCCACACTACTGGGGACCCTCAGAGAGTCCAGCAGGGCAGGGGTCTAACACATGGGTCTTATTCAGTGGGAATAAAGAAGGGTCCAGACAAAGAGGCTGTGGAGGTCCAAATGCAGGTGTGGCAGGCTGTGATGGTGGCTCCAATGACCTTGAAGGCACCCACAGCTCAACGCTATGACTCATTGGAAGTGAAAAACGGCTGAAGGCGGTGTCAGGAACGCTAAGAGAGCCGGGCAAACTTCTCAACCCCCACACAGAGAGGGAGAAAATATTGCAAGAACACAGGGGAAAAAAATAAACAAACAGGGACAAGAGATGGGCTGGATGAACAAGAAAACAATGGCTCCTTAGAGACAGCCAGCCAGTCTCCCAGGTGGAACACTCCTCACAGTGTCTACATCTAGCCGAGAAACAACCACCACCACAATTCGAGGGCTTCAGGAAGACGCCCTCGTTAAATTAGGGCAGGGGCTGCAGAGGCGAGCTCCATGTCCGCTGTTCAGCGCGCTGAGGAGAGAGGGGAGGAAAATGGGTTCTTGACAGTTGAGGCGCCAGGAAGCCAGCACAGTGTGAGTCATCGTGACCCGGAAAACTGAAGGCAGAGCAGATGTTGGGGATGACAGCGCTGCTCTGTTCCTATTTGTTGTGTAAGAGCCATCTAGCTGCACTTCTAGCAAAACGAGCAGATAGGCACCATTTCAAATCTGCTCAAAGTGAGCACACGGGTTCATGCGTGTGTGTGCGCGTGTGCGTACATGTGCGCCCGAGCACCCGCATGTGTATGAATGTGCGCACCCCTGTGTACCGGCACCTCCATCGCTCTCCACCTTACTCCTTGATTCAGTCTCTCACTGGAGTGAGGCAGCCAGTAAGACCTAGCAATTCTTCTGTCCCCATGATACCCCACCACACACACACACACACACACACACACACACACACACACAGCGAAGGGGTTATAAGCATGCACAACCAAGCCTAGTTATTGTTTAGCAAGTGCTGAGGACTTGAACTCAGGTCCTCATGTTTGCAGAGCAAACGTCTTACCTGCTGAGTCATTTCCCCAGCCCTCTGCTGTCTTTTTAGGGACGAGTGAAGTCTCAGTGTTTGTTTTACCTGTTTAATATCTTAGGGTGTGTTTTACTTTTAATCATGTGTGTATATGTATGATGAGTGCACACGTGAGTGCAGGTGTCCTCAGAGGCCAAAAGAGGACAATCAAATCCCCAAGAGCCGCAGCTATGGTGGTTGTGAGCCGCCCAGCGTGAGTCCTGGGAACCAGACTGTCCTCTGCCAGAGCAGCAGGCGCTCTTACCCACTGAGCCACCTCTCCAGTGTCGCCCCTTCTTCATTTTGCATGTTTGTACCTCTGTGTGTGGAGGCCAGGTTAAAGCTCTGGTGCTGCTCCTGAAGACACCGCCTGCCTTGTGTTTTGAGGCAGGGTCTCCCACTGGCCTGGAGCTTACTAGTTCTGCAGGCTGACCTGGTTGATGAACCCCAGATACCCTCCTGTCTCAGCCTCCCCAACACCTCAGTTACAAACATGTGCCACCAGGCCCGACTGTTTTTTATGTAGCAAGTGTTAATTCCATGTGAACATATGTTTATATTAGTGTACGCATGTGTACCACATTCGTGTAGGTACTCACAGAGGCCAGAAAGGAGTCACCTGAAACCTGCGCTGTATTTATTAAGCCAAGAGGTGTATTTAGCACAACAAAGTAGCTAACTCTCTGAAGGTCTCAACATACTCACAAAGATGCCAAGTATGGGATGCATCCCCAGGACTCCTGAGCTCACACGCTCTGGGTGAGCCCCCGGGACTCCTGTGAGCTTTCAGAATCCCCCCTGAAGTCTTCCAACCAACACGCTTGTCAGAAGAAAAAAAAAAGTGCCGCCTTCGAATGGCTGCAGAATCTGTTTCTAATTCTCACGTGATCACCCGTGTGCACACACCCTCGCCTCAGCCTGAGATGGTGTCTATTTCTGCTTGAAAGAGAAATGGCACACCATTAAAAAACAGCAATATTTAGATGTCTGAAATTAGTTACTTTAACTCCAAGGTCTAATTTTAAATGTAGCTATTCTCAATTTCCTTCCTGGCTGCTTTGGTGAGCAGCGCCTTCCCGATTTGTTCATTTAGCGATAATTTAGTTCTGTGTAATTCCATTTAATCCCCTTTTGGAACCCAGGTACCAATCTTGCTGTTTTTTTTTTTTTTTAATAGAGATTGCTTCTTAGCATTCTACTAAGCACAGCCCCATTTTGAGAAGCTAAACCCTGACCCCGGTGCCCCACTCATACGAAAATGGAACATTTGGCACACTCAGCGGCCATCTGAAAGCCACCAGACACAGCCTTGCCAAAGCGCTAACCTTCAGGTTTATGACTGCACCAGCCGCCCATCAACAGGACAGACGTCTCTCACAGCCGAGTCTCATTCCTGCCAGCACAGAACTTTAGAACTGGACTTTGCACAAATGTTCACAGGCATGTGTGTGCGCTTGGATGGGTACACCCTTACACAGAAACTTTTCAGACTGAAACAATCAAAACATAACAGTAGAACAGTCCAGTGATTTCTGCTCTCTTTCATTTATATTTAAGTAGGAGAAAGAGCAAAAAATGAAATAAAAATACATAAAACAGTAAGTTAAGTTCATACACATGCTGAGTGATGGACAGCTATTCGGGGAGAAAACAGTTTGTAGTTCATGCCTTGAGTGTAAATCAGTTCTTGGTTAATCACAAATAGAAGCTGTTGTGATTTTTTTTTTAATGAAAATATTAAAGAAACTCAGGAAGAATTGTTTTCTAATGATCTTTGGGCGGAAGGTTGATACGGGGAGTAATATGTCGTAAAAGGAGATGCTACTGCAAAAAATGGCATCGAAATAAAAATTTAGGCAAGTCAAGAGACAATCATCTCAAAATAAGCCAAAAGGAAAAAAAATAATAAATCAAAAGCCCAAAGGACAAAGCTAAGATGAGGGACAGAGGGGTTTCCTGCAAGGAATGACAGTGTTTGTGAAAACATGGAGGCTTCTCCACGTGGTGGTCTTTTTGGTTTACGTGTGCCAGGTCAGAGAGTCCCAGCAAGTAGGACCAGGAGGCAGGTGCCATCGCTGTGAACGATGTGGGTGGCCACAGGGGGAACCTAAACTCGGGCAGCAGTGGACACATCTGCATAAGGGGTGAGAAGGAAGAGCCACCAGAGAAGGGGTTTGTGACCCTCCCATCAAAGGGAGAAGAAAGGGCAGGCCGTCCTGGCAGAGCAGAAGAGAGGAGACGCTTGGCAGCCGTGGGACAGGAAATGGAAGTCCCCTGACAGGTGGGCAGCCAGGATCCTAATGAAAATGTCCTGAAAATATTTTCAGCTAATTCTGTGCCAAAACAAGACAGAATCATAAAATAAAATTTAAAAAAAAAAAAAAAAAAAGAGCGGGACAACACTAGGCCTTGTAAGTGGACATAGGACAGAGACCGGGGGAGAAGTCAAGGTGAGACTGTTGAGACCAGTGGCGGAGGGCGGGATCCCTGGGGTCAAGGAGGAAAGTGTGG